CTCTAAGCACTTTACAGATGTCGACTCAGTTGATTCTCACAACAACCCATTTATCAACATTTGTGGAAACAGCAGCACACAAAAGTTATAAGGACTCCCCGGACACCAAATACATAGTGAGCACCTGCTCTGTGCCAGCCCCTGTTCCAAGGGATGGAAAAAAGGCCGTGAACAAAACCAAGCCCCTGCCCCAGAGAGCTTACATTCTGGACATGGAATGCTCTTGTAGATGATAGATGTCAGGTGGCTGGAAAAAGAAAGCAGGGTGAGGGGACAGAGTAGGTGCCCTTGGACACCTGTATAAAGGAGCAAGAAAAAGCATACTTGCTAATAATAATTTCAATAAACTCTGGAGCCCAGTGTTCCTAAAGATCTTCATGATGCCCACTGAGTTGCAGCGCAAACGCAGTATATTTATTGTCGTGGGGCTACTACATCAGAACCCTAGAGCTTAAGATAGAGATCAGGGAGGATAATTTTCTGAACGCCGGGTGTCCAGAACTAGCAGCCTGCACAAGCTCCTTGTCCCTTTTAGCGTTAACCTAATAAACGGCAGCATCCTGCTCTGTGACTGGCGCACAGGCTTGTCGCGGAGCCTCCACGAGAGAAGGCGGGGGACGCACTCCGGGAACCGTTAAGCGCGTTCCCGGGGCTTCAGCACCGCAGGGCTCTGAGCCTCGCCCCTCTGGGCGCGCTGCGGGTCGGCCCTCGGGCTTCCCGGCGCACGCGCAAGGTCGGCCGGGCTCTCGGGCGCCGGCCACATCCGGGGCTGTGCGGGCGCGCGGTTACCATGGCAGCGGGGTCGCGGCAGGCGCGCGGGCAGGGAGGTCCGGAGGCTGCGGGTGGCTGGGCCGCCAGCGGAGCCGCACAGCCGGACAGTCGCGCCCGCAGCGCCGAGGGGCGGCCGGGCGGCGCCGCAGCCATGTCACTGGGCACCGCGGATCCGGCCTCGGAGACGGTAAGCGCGGGCGGGCCTCCTCGCTCCCTCCAGCTCGCCGGCTCTCGGGGCCAGGCGCGGTCCGGAGGAAGGGGCACACGGCCGGAGGCCGCCGGGTGACAGCTGCCATTATTGTTACCGCATAAGACCGACCCTTGGGCCCCCGCCCGCGTGCAGCCGGCCGGGCGTCGCCGCCCCTCACCCAGCCTCCAGCCGCCCCTAGACCCCGCCAGCCCGTGCACAGGCCGCCGCTTCCAGGAAGCCCTCCCGGACGCCGCGCCCTCCTTCGAGGCCCCGGCCTGTGCCGAGCCTGCTACCGCGGTCCGCGGGGCGACGGAGCTTACTGCGTAAGTGCTGGCCCACCCGTGCCTCCGGGGCGGGGGGCAGCGGCCGGCCTGGGTGTGCAGGGGGAAAACCCCCCCGCCCCGACAACAGTGCCCTGCCGGGCGCTGATGGGAGAAGGCTTCCCCGGGGGAGGCGTCCCCAGGTTTACTCCTTTGGGTGAGGGCAAACGTGCTGTCCGCTTGTGCCTTTCCCAAGTGTTTTGGGTGCACCCACTACCCGCTGGAGGGGAGGCATCCACGTGGGTAAGTGGCATTCCCGTTGGGGGAGAAGAAGGCAGGAAACAGAGCGTCAAGATCACTTCAGAGAGTGAGCTGTGCAGAAAATAAAACAGGCCCCATGTGATGGAGGTGTTGCAGAGGGCTGCTTTGGACGGGGTGCCCGGAGCAGCCGCTCTGAGGACGCCCTGGATGAGGACGAGAAGGAGACAGGCTGTTAAAGACTTGAGAGCAGTGGGGCAGCAGCATGTACTAAGGTCCTGAGATGGGAGAGTGGGGTGTGGCGCAGCGCCTGCATGAAAGCTTGCTGGGACCTCCTGGGGGAAAGGGGTGTGCATGGAAGGTGGGCACCCGCCTGGCCACGGGAGCCGTGCAGGCCATGCAGGGAGCGTGGATTTTACTGCAGGCGGGGTGAGAAGCCTCGGGAGGGCTCCAGACAGAGGGAAATTTGCTCGCTTTGCTTCCTTCTCACTGAGAGGGCAGCACTCAGCCAGGCTGGACAGCGAGGGCCCAGGCTCAGTGCTGCTGGCCCCTGGCAGCGACTGAACTTGTCCCTCAAGGCAGCGAGTCTTGCCTCATCTGGGAGGCCCGCCCACCTACACAGGACTCAGTTACCGCCATGGGTCCTTCATCTTTAGAAAGTGACGTTTTATGTCGTGATTGTAAAACTCCTGACCGTTAGAGAAAACTTAGAAAGTCCGTTTACCTGCCCAAGACCTGGTCAATATCTAGCGGATTTCCTTCCAATCCTTTTGCAATGCATCTTTTTCCACGCACCTTTGAAAAAACTTGAGAGCGTATGTGACTCGTTTTGTCACCTTTACTGTTTAACTTGTTGTTAGCGTTTTCCCACAGCCGCACGTTTTCACGAGCATGATATGAAAAAGTCTAACCTGTGGATGCCGTTATTGTTTTCACCCATTTCCCTGCTTTTTACTCTTTTGTTTTCGCTGTTCAGCTATTAGAAACAGTGCTACTATAAACATCCTTACACGCATAAACATTTGCTAAGCCCCTTACGTGTGAGGCTCTGAGGACACAGAACAAGTTAAGCCATGTTGCCTTGGTCTCAAGGAGTTTGGTCTGGTGGAGAAACTGTCGCAAAGCTCTCTCCACGTCTAGCAGACGCCCTTGGTCCAGGCTACCTTGTGGCTTTTCTGCTAGCTCGCATCTGTGCTCAGTTAGACAAGAACCTCTTGAGAGCAGGCACTGTCCAGTCTGTCCGTTCTCTCAAGTCCCTTGGAATAGAGCTGCCTCTAGGCTTGCTCGTGAACTTTCGCAGAGCGCTCACTGTGTGCCAGGGGGCTCACCGTGCGGCGGCTGTAAGCGGCTCCGCTGACCGCAGTACAGAGCCACGGGGGTGACGTAGAGCCTGAGTGGGGCCACGGGTGATTTAAGGGCCAACATTCGTAAAAAGGCTCACAGTTTCTAGAACGAGACAAGAAGAGCATTTATTAGACATTTACTATGTGTAAGGTTCTATGTCGCGTGCTTTATTAGCCCCCTGGCCCAGACCTCAGGTCTCCTCTCCCCCCAGCCCTGCCCCCGACCTTTGGCTCACAATCTCCTGTGCTCTCCTGCCTCCCAGATCACCCTGCAGCCTCACAGCACCACGGCTTGAACATATTTATAATGGCTGCTCTGAAGTCTTTCTAAGTCCCTCATCCGGTCTGCTTCAGAAGTTTCTATTTCTGCTTTTTTTCCCCCTTCTAACAATCACACTTTCCTGTTTCTCTGGGTATCTCATGGTTTCCGTCGGAAGCTAGACATTTAGATGGAATGTGACAGCGACCCCGGGTCGCCACCCCTCCTCCCCACGGGCTTGGTGTTTGCTTGGTGGTCCGTGTTTGGTGAGTGTGACTTAGCTGGACTAACTCTGAGGTCCTCCTGCCCGCGCTGTGCAGCCTCTGGTTCCCTGCAGGTTTTGTCTTGTTTGCATCTCTCTTAACTTCACTACCTAGGGGTCACCCTTGGGTCAACAGAAGCCATTTTTTGATCAACGGCTGTGGGTAAGCCCCTTGGCCTGTCACACTGCGTGTGCCTGTGTGTGCGTGTGCGTGCGTGCATGTGTGCATCTGTGTGCGTGTGGCTTGGAGGCTGCTGTCACAGTGCGCGACTTTACGGTTTTGCCCACCCGAGGCCAGGGACTAGTAGCTTGGATTGCCCCTCTCCGTCTCCCCTGCACGGGCAGCCTTAGACGCGCACGTGCCCTCCGGACCTCTAGATATTGTACCTCTAGGCCTGGCTCCTGGGAGCGGCTCTTGTGTCGGGGTGGTTTCTTGTCCAGCCAGTGTTTGCTTCGAGGTTGTGCTAAGACCCCTCAGCCAGGGTTGGTCTAGGTGTGTGGGGAGTGTTTCCAAGCCCTCCTTAAGCCCACGGCCACGTGCGTGCGGTCTAGCACTTGGAGGCAGCCTCCCTGACCCTCAAGGTCGACTGTGACCCCAGGAAGGCTCTTCTGGGCTCTGTTAAAGCTTCTGGGTGCTCTTCAGATTGGCTTCCTGCTGCTGCTGTCACAGAGCTCGGAGGGCCCTGTCATGGCTCCCCACCACGTCCCCATTGTTTTCAACTTGGCATTGGAATTAGGGAGCCATTGGGATCCTCCACCATGCACTACAAATACAGCCAGTCCCCTGTGCTACCGCACGGGGCCAACAGCAGGGACGGCCTCCTCGAGTGACAGTCCTGTTGTGGTGCAGGGAGGTGGGGGCCTGACCCTCCCTGAGCGGAACCTCTGCCCTGAGAGCAAGCTGGGGACCTAGAATTCCTAGTCGGCTGCTCCTGGGGTAGGGCTTACACCCTCCTTCTGGGCGCAGGGAATCTCCCCCACCGTTCACCACTGTCTTGCCTGCACCCACCTAGAGCCTATCTCCCTGGAGTAGTTCCCGTGGGACAGGGCTGGGGGTGGGGGGGGGCAAGGGATGCCCCGGACTGTTCTCTCCCAGATCGTAAACGGCTGTCTGTTGAGGAGACAGTCGTCCGAGCTCCTCACCCCATCATTCTGGAAGACCACTCCTAGGGAACGTATTCCTTCTTCTCCGACACCGTGTACTGAATCCCCGCAGGCACCCCCATCTCCTTCGAGACCCGCTCTTTTTTCCCAGTGTCTGCTTAGTACACATATCCTTTTGTGCTTTTGAAAATCTGGTAGAGGAACGTGTTCTCCTTTGTTGAGGAAGCTGGGATGCACAGGGTCAGTGGTGTGGCCAACGTCACACAGCCGGCGGGGGGGCACGATGCTGCTCTGGGCCCCGTCGGGCTCTCCGCCCGCCTGCCCCGCGGCCGCCCCCGGGCTCCCGCCGCCCAGGGAAGGGGTGCGGCAGCTCAGACTGTGCTCAGAGACATCGACGCGTTCATTGTCTTTAACGCAGCCCCTGGTCTGTCTGCTGCAGCCTGAAGAGGTGAGCCTGGAGCGGCTCCGCGTCCTGTCCCGTCCCGTCTGGCAGGACTGGCGGGCACAGGGAGCGAAGGCGGGGAGGATCGGCCGGGGGGAAGGCGTGGTGGCTGAGCGCACCTGTGGGAGACAGATCCCTTGGTTTTGTCCACCACACAGGTAGCCTCGTTTCCCTGTTGAGCCTTCAGGCCATTAAACAAGTAATGATGACGAGCGTCCACAGAGAAAGCCGTCGCTCCTCCTCTGTGCGGTTTCCAGTGGGTCCACACCCGCCGTCGGCAGGCGTGTCCTTTGCGATGCCAGGGCGCGGTCGCCACCGTGTCTCCCCAGATCTGGCACGGGATCTGCACGTTGAACCTGCTGCCTTCCCTTCCTAAACGTTGGGCATCATTTTCACACGCTTCGCTCAAGGAAGACGCTCTGTGATCGTCACGTGCTAGTTGTACCTTAAAACATCACTTGTGAAATGGCGCAGAAAATCCGTCAGTGGCCGATGGAAGATTCTGTTTATTTGGGGCACACGACCTTCCCCCCGTCCCACATCAGGTCACGCCACACCTTTAGTCCGGACCCTGTGTTTCAGATCGCTGGGCTGGAGGGCTGCCCCGTCCCGACAGCGACACCTTACCCACGCCCCACCCCTCTGGCACGGCCATATGTTTCCAGTGGAACATCTGCTGGAAGACTTGTTCCTTAAAGTCCTGATACTATGGCCATATGGCTTAGTCCGTACTTGTGCTTTTCAGAAGGCAGCAAAGTCCCACGACGACACCGTGTGGGTTCAGCCGCACCCACACGGCTTGCTGAGACACGCTCACCAGCCAGACACAGCCTTCTCGGCTCCCAGGACGGGTGTCAGTTCCTAACTCCCAGCAACCACACCGCGAATCAACAGCACGGCGATCAGAGGGGATTTACGGGTTTATGTGTGTTCCTCCCTTCCCTTTTTTTAGGATTTAAAACTGAGTGAGTTAGCACAGAAGCAGTCTTCTCTTGGGAAATGACATCCTCGCACTAAAATTAGGCGGTACAGGTTTTCCTCTACCCCCCACGGCCGGGCAGGAAGGTTTCTACGGCCAAATAAGGCATGTATTAATGCGCGTGTGTTTTTAAATGACTTTGGCTTGTTCTTGTCAGGATCCAGTCCCAGGTCCCTTGTGCCTTGATGTGAAGATGAATAAGAGAGCATTTAAACGATGTGAGACACGTTCCTTTTCTCCAAAACCGTTTCTTTATCGACAGTACATAGCGGATCCTTGGATGTGGTGCCGCTAGATGGACAGACGTGGAGCAGCCCGAGCGGGTGGAGCTTTGTGTCACGTCCGCCACCGTTCTTTGGGCTGCAACCGAGCGGGCTGGCCGCTGCCCACTTTGCATGTTCTGAGCTAACTCGGAGCGGGTTTCTTGAGTCACTGCCTCAGCAGCCGTGGATGGGCTGTTTTCACTTTGTACGTGTGACCGTGGGGGGCCAGGCAGGTTCCCTAAAATTTCACTGTTTCCATCTCTTCTTCCAGGGAGATGACAGTCTATCCGCAATTACCTTTGACTCTGACTTTGAGACGGTGAGTGTGATCGGGGCACAGCCGCTTGTCCCACTGCTGGTTATCTGGCCCCTACACGTTACCCAAACACGCCCCCGGCTCTTTCCCCGCAAACGTGACGTTTAGAGCCGGAATACACACTCTAGGGGCTACTCTGCACTTGAGGAGTTTTGAGCCCTTGGTTGGTATAGGTAACCGTGATTATAATTTTAAAACTTGTATCCGGGTGTTAGTTGTGAGCAGAGTATATCTGAGGCACATTCTAAGGTCTTATCCTGCTTTTGGTTTTGGTGTAGCATGAAGGGGGGAGAGGACTCTAGGCTGGAGAAGGGATTCGCTTTGGCAGCCGCGGCTCTGGCAGTGTGTGATGTCCTGGCACGATGGCCCCAGGGTCCCCTGGATGCCAGGAGTGGCCTGAAGGGAGAGTGGCCAGCAGGGGTCCCAAGGCAGAGCAGCCCCCAGCCTGGCCGGTCTGGGTTTGTCTGGGGAGCCGCGCTGGGTAGAACGTGCAGCCTGCCGGCTTCGCGGTCACAAAAAAAGAGCACAAGGCACGTGTCCAGCAGGCAGAGTCGCAGACGAGCCTCAGCACATGGCTCTGAGGGCACGTGGCACCAGCAGGTCTCCGTTCCACCTCGGCTCTGCGCACTCGAAGGGGAACATCACGCGCCCGTTGTCTGCGGTGAGGGACCTCTGCAGATTAGGGGTGTTCCCTCAACACCACTGAGGCCGTGGACCCGAGATGCTCCCCGGAGGAGTAGGGATCCAGCTCATGTCCCAGGGAAAATTCAGATGGCAGGGCTCACGGTTCTGCTGGAAGGGAGGGAAGAGGGATTCTCTGTCCAAGAGGAAGCCGATGAGGTTTGTCCTTTCCCTGGGCACACGGCAGGGCCCAGTTCTGCAATCTGGCATCAGGGTTGCCCTGGGAGACGGTGTTCCGACAGGGCCCCTCCCGTGCGGGACCGTCCCTCCCCAGTGGGGTCTGTACTTGCCGTATTCCTGCCGAGTCCATCCTGGTGGACGGTCACAGCTTGGCGCTGCAGGCACTGGCCTGAGGACAGTCAGGGGGGCCGAAGATACGCTGTTCGTGTGGCATCTTCAGCGTGCTTCTAGGTAGTGTCCCGAGAGCTCCCGGGAACCCAGTGCAGCCCGAACACCGCACGGATCACGTTTTCCGGGGTCACCTCGCTGCGCTGTGTGTTTCTTCCCGGGCTCAGCCTTCACTCATGTCTCTGCTGAGTTAACCTCTTCTCTCGCTGCCCTTGCACCTGCTCTGACCCGTCCTGAACACGCCTGTGCTTCACTTTTGGGGCCATCGGGCTCCTCGAGAAGGCTCAACGTGCTTTACGTCGTTTCTTTTCTTTCAGAAAGCAGAAAGGAAAAGTTTCCACAAACCTCCACCCACATCACTGAGTAAGTATGACCAGGCATTTCATCCCTCCAATTTCTGCACTTTAGCCCAGAGAAAGGGTTTTAGACGCTGTCCTTCCCTGATGTCTTGGGAGAAAGATCAAGAATGTCTTCTTCAAACACCTGGGGTTATCAAGAAGTGACACTCCCACCACTTGGCTCCATTTTGTGGTGGGGTCTCGGGAGCCGGCACTCTCGGGGTCCCCGCCTTCC